GGTTTAACGATCCAGAATAATCTGAAGTGGGATTTGCATATCAGTGAGATAGTAACCAAAGCATCAAAAAGACTACACATCTTACGAGTTCTCAAGCGCAGTGGAGTTTCACCGTTTCATTTACTACGAGTACATTTTGCACTTATTAGATCCCTGCTTGAGTACTGCTGTCCGGTATGGCATTCATCATTGACCATTAACTTGTCAGATAAAATTGAACGGGTCCAGAAGCGCACAATGCGAATAATCTACCCCACATTAAGCTATGACGCTGCTCTGGACCAAGCTAAATGTTCGACATTACGCGCAAGACGTGATGGTTTGTGCATAAAAACTTTTGACAAAATCAGACAGCCTGATTCACGCCTTAACCATTTAATACCACCTTCTCGGGCCAATGGACACAATTGTAATTTAAGGTACGGAAATAGATTAACACTGTTTCCTTGTAAGACGGAGCGCTTTAAGAAAAGCTTTTTTCCTACTATGTGTATTCAATCACATAATTTATAAATTTTGTAAATTTTGTAAATTTAAAAGTTCTTTCGATATTAATTCATAGATCAGTAAACTATTGTTGTAATATAATGCCAGTAACACAAGGTACTTTTTAATACTTTTAACTAAAGTTTGTAAATAATTTCGCAATTCGCTTTCATCGAGCGCGACGATTTTTATAATAAACCATTAATAATAATAATAATAATATTATTCAACTAATTATTATATAACACAACTATGGTAGTTAATTGTGGAAATTTCAATCCAGATTCGGGAATATCAAATTCTACTCGACGTGGTGTGTTGGCCGAACAGACAAGGCGGATCAGACGTGGTTACGTTGTGCAAAGTTTTGAATAAATAATACATGAAATCAAGGATGTTAGTATTAACGATAAATTTCAACCACTTGTTGTTAAAAAATATCCAAACGGAATTGAGATTGGAAGTCAGAGTTCTGCGTATGCGGCAACCGAATTTAGTAGGAAATGTCGTGTTTAGACGGCCGCCATTTTGCTTCCAAGATTCCTGGGACTATTGATCGGTATATCTGGATAAAAATAAAATATTTGAGAAAAATAAAACCGATTCAGGTAATTAAAAGCCCAAACCTTCCTGGTCATAAAGTTTTAGGTGGGTTTACTTTTTACGTAAAACATGAGTGGTCGGTTTTTAGGGAGACAGCCTCTTAAGTGCTATAAAGCCTGGTTTCCATATGGTCAAAAGATAGAGTCACAATCTTTCTCATCAGCCGAAATACAACATTTTAGAACTGAAAATATGCAGAGTGATTAGAACTAGTGAATACTTATGATTTATATGTGGTTTACAGGTATGAACTATTATATACAGACCTTTGAGAAAATTGTGACTCTACTTTTACGACCGTTATGACCATATGGAAACCAGACTTTTATACTCACAGTAATTAACCAACAACAGAGGGGACATTTTTTGGGACACCCTGTATATGCTGGGAGTTTGGCGGAAAAGCATCAATGGATATTTTATAATAACAAACGTTTATATATAAATGAATGATCAAAATTAATGAACAATACACTTCAGCCTCTGGAGTCTCTGCACTATAAGAACAATAAATTACACTCTGCAACTGAAAGTTCCAAATCTAACTGCAATATAAAAGTAGATCCACTCTTACTACAGAAAGCTTCATTAAGATTGTCTTCCAGTTTAACAGAATAACAAATAAAAACAAGTACTAAAAGTACAAATATATTTATTACATATCTTTAGAACTATTAAAGACATGTACTGTCACTACTGTATATATATTTTGTAAAAAGGCTTATTAAGATGGATAATTGAAAGTTTGAAACCTTCTGGTCGATCAAGGTTAAACATAAATGATAAATGAACTACTTACTTCCCTTTAAAAGTTTGCTTGATCATATTCTGTCTCCGTAATTGGAAAGCAAACTAGAAATTGTGCTGTCATACTACAGTGACGATAAAATATTATTCCCGAATGGACAACTTTGAACGAACAAAACTGACGATATTTTTGGGCAATCTGGATAATTTTCGTTTTAAAAGCATTAACATAACATCTTGGTTCACGTTGTTCGCCATACATTTCTATAGTAATTTGTATCACTCCGTGGTCCCCGGAAGTGATTTTCGCATATATAATTTGGCTTCACTTTTTACACCTAGAGAAGCTATATCCAGTCTACTATTAGATCAGTGGTCTCGCCTCGTCCTCACACTGAAGCCCTGGGAACGAGGTTGGCTGAGTTAACCCGAACAGTGTGGTATATCATTAACTGTGCACAGGATTGGAATTGAATTATATACTTCACTCATGACCTTCAAAACATTCCCTACTATTCAGTAGGGAATGTTTTGAAGATGATGAGTGAAGTATATGAAGTATCCACCTTTGAAAAGACCTTCATGACCTTCAAAACATTCCCTACTATTCAGTGGTCTTCGATATATGATTGACTCTTTGCTACAGTAATGCATGTTCCTAGATTAGTTTGTGTATGTTACTCAACAGTTAACATTGCCAAGTGTAAACAACAAGTGACAGAACTTTTGCGGCTTCATATGATTACAATAAAGTTTTGAAAATTCGATGAGTATGGAATGACAAGTGACAGTTTACTAAATAGCCGGCTGTATAGACACTTCGAATATTGTTTCATGAAACTTTTATTTCCTGACTGCATAATTATCTGTTACAAGCATAATCACATTGTAAAAAAATTGGTTAAATTTTCTCGGCGGCGGGCTGCTGCCCTCCGTGCAGTGTACAGCCCTGTTAGATTTGTATTATGTTTGACTTTAAAATCTTATTTGCTATTATATTTATCATAATAAGTGCATGATGAAAGTAGATATGGGTTTTTGTTTGGTGGCCCAACCGAGGATAAAATAATTGGCGGCCCATCGAAACTGCCCAAAGATTTTCCATGGCCCATCCCAAATCACTCCGGCCCACCCTAGCAGTTACTTTATGACCGGTCCCTTAGCGGCGTCTCGCCCTTTGAAACGACGAAGACCACAAACTACGAAATGTGGAGAGATTGATGAGGCGCCATCCAGGGCCGTAGCTAGCATGTATAGTTGGGGGGTAAGCCAAGAAAATTTCCGAATAACGAAAAAAAATTCCGAATGTTTCATGGCGTACGAAGCCACGAAAGTGTTTGCTATCCGGAAAATGAAGATGCAACTTACAAACAAAAATACACATATTTTACGCACAGACATACTACAGAAGCATGCAGTGCCGTAGGAAGCTCTTTTTGATTGGGGTGGGAAATGTTATCCATGTAAATGTTATCCATGTAAATGCTGTGATTTCGTAAATCAGTTTATACTGACAATACCATTTTATAATATTTTCTCTATTTAAACAACTGAAATTTTGTTATACTATTATTTCCGTAATTTTCCGAATGGCCAACACGATTTTCCGAATATGTTAATTTTACAAAAGTTGGGGGGGGTTAACCCCAATACCCCCCTCGCTACGGCCCTGGCGCCATCAACATCTAAACATAAAAAAATCGATCAATATTTGAAAGAAAAAAGTGGTTGCCAACTGACAAACAACAGAAAGATTGTACTGAGAAACTAGCACGAATGATATGCTTAGATCTACAACCAATTAGCATTGTCGAAGACAAAGGTTTTAAAGACTTTGTCAGTTGCTTACAGCCTTCATATCTGATCGGCGGGTCTTGCGTAATAGCATCATACCTGATCGTTATATGAGCCAAAAGTCCGATCTTCGGCAAAAGTTGAATGAAATCGATTCATTTGCGATAACATTGGACCATTGGACATCAACAGCCCAAGACGCATATATGGCAGTTACTGCCCACTTTCTTTCAGAGGACTTTACTACTAGAAAATACATGCATGCAGAAACCCTCGCCTTGCTGACAAAACCATTGTATTTTCCGAACATGAAGTATCTAAAGTAGTTGTCATGGTAACACCGTAACACGATAATTTCTTAAGAATATTCTTACAAATGAAAAATCGCTTAAAAATGTCACTTTTAATTACAAAATTATCAATTTCCCAACATATATATGTTAGGTATGATATTATACGTAATATAAGCTTCAATTTAAGGTAAAATTCAACCACAAACGCTTCGCAAAACGTTTTAAAGTGTTCTTTATAAAACTAAACTGCCTTTATTCTTTAATTAAATGGCTCTGATTAAATGGCTTTATCGATAAACTTTGAGTTTGCAATAAAATGATTTCAAATTCTCGCATGCAAATAACTTTGCTTTCTTTTTATTTAAAAAAATTCAATATAATAAAAAAGGGAATCAATATTAAAGATACACTGAAATGATATGCTGTCTTGTTTAGTTGTTTCATATACGCAAAGGCCGTCGGGCTTTAAAGCAATTATAAAATCAATATTTAAAACAAACTTACCTTCGTTAACGTCGGCTCCCTTCTTTTAGCCGATTCTTTCGCCATTTCTTTCTTGAAATTTACAAAATCTTGCAAAAATGCGAGCAAAAATGAAATATATTTGCAAGAAATTTATCAATCATCATTCATCAAATAAAGAAATGTTTGGCATATTGTTTGCTATTTCGCTGTCGTCATGCAGTCGTTATAATGCAAACTTTAAATTGGACCAATCACAGTGTTCGCTATTCATGACAGTCCGCCATATTTTTGAGATCAGTGAGGATGACCACCCACGGTTGGTGACCCACGCCCGCGATATTTGATGAACTTTAGACTTCGCTAATGCTTTCGTTTCCCCGGGTGTAAATAGCCGGGGAGGGGGGGATTAGTACCCTCGCACGGCGCTTCGCGCCGTCGGCTCGGGGATTAATGATTATTGCCTTAATGTTCGCCATATGCCTCAATCGCACGATGCAAAAAAACATTTCTGACGAACTCTGTTCATGCCTTGAATAATGGATTCCTGACTATGAGGAAAGGTTGGTGAAAATTTCTACAGTTACCAACAACCCAGCTAACGTGAAAGCTGCTATGGGACGCCTCTCCCCTGAAAAGTTCAAGTCAATGTATTGCTTTGGGCATACATTGCAATTCGTAGTGAATGACGCTGTAGAAGCATTTCCAGAATTTCGCAGTGTCATTAAAATTGTAAAAGTAATTGTCAATCACTTTCACAAAAGTGCCAAGGATTCACATGAGCTAACTGAAATACAAAAGAAATTGAACATTAAGCAGCATAAACTGAAAAATGAAAGTCCACCGCGATGGAATTCATTGTATTACCTGATGGATAGAATTGTTGAACAGCGGGAGGCTATAACTGTTGTTTTGGCCTCAAATGGCAAAGTTAACAACCAGCAAAATCACGAGTGGAAGACTGCAGAGAGTTATGTGAAAGTTCTCAAGCCCTTTGAAAATGTGACTTCCATGATGTCAGCCTCCAGATTTCCTACTTTGTCTATGGTTATTCCTGTATTAGGTGTCCTAAAACAGCAAATGGATGAAAGTGAAATGAATGACTTTGGGGAACAAATTTGTGAAAACATAAAGGAACGATGGCCTGACTATGAAAGTAATCTTGATTTAGCTATTCCTGCTCTTTTGAATCCCAGGTTCAAAGAATATGCCTTTACCAATGATGAAGCTAAGGAATCTGCAGTACAGGCAGTAATTGATTTGATGTATGGTAATAGTGTCGGCACTGTTGAATTAGAGTCTCGGATAAGTCGTTTGGACAATCTTCCACTCAAGCAGCTTCCACAAGCTCTGAAACAGCCTCTGTAATGTGTGTGGGGTATTCAAAGAAATGGTTGCAAAGAGGAAAGAGAGTTGTCTACAGGGTGATTCGAGGAAAGTGATAGAGCAAAACTGTAATGATGATCTGTTGGAACCAGATAAATCCCCATTTGATTGGTGGAAGAGAAACTGTACAAAATACCCAAATATTTCAAAACTGGCTCAAACTTACTTTAGCATACCAGCCACATCTGAGTCAAGCGAGAGGTTATTTAGTAAGGCAGGATTAGTTATTACTCAAAGACGGTCATGTGTTGAGCCAAACTTTGCTGCACAGCTTGTGTTTCTTGGACACAATTTAAAACAATGACAGAGACTCATTGTGCTCTTTGTGCACAATATGCACTGTAGTGCTCAAATAGTTGGTATTTTAGTTGTTAACTTACAGGTTAGCCTGCGAACAGGCCCTGGGTTACGGGCGGCGCGAAGAATAGAGGGCCTCCACGGAACTATAGGTTTTCTTGGTAGTGGCGTTCGTATAGAAACGCAGGCTTCTGATTGGCTTACACTCGTTGACAAAATTACTAAAAATAGCAAATGTCAACAACAGCATTTTGAAGAATTTGAACTTTCTTCATTTTAATATTATATATTATAAGACTATCGAACAAATAAAACTAGAAATGGAAACCAAAAGCAATATAAACAAAGCATCACAGCAAAAAAGTCTATCATTAATGACTCAGTTGAATCTATCGCTTAAATCTAATATACGAAACTATAACAGTATTCTGAACTTCGTCTTCGGATTGACATCAGACTATAGTATAGTACATTTTGAGGTCGTCGTGGCTTCACGGATTATTCTCATTAGTGAGTAAGTCAGCAAGCGAAGGCATACAAAAGATACCCAAATATGTACGAATAATTATATTGTTGATCCTCGCTGGCATGTCGATCATTTAGATAAATATATATCGTACATTAAACGTTGTACTATTTACTGTATAAACTGCTGACAATTTCGTCGTCGATACGGCTTCCACTATTGGCACACTCGTGATTTCGAAGAAATTAATAAATACATGCTCATTTATCATTTATTTAGACCACAGTTAGTAAAATTTTAGACGTATTCGTTATTCCAAATCCCAATCTATCTGACCGTATTTTAGTAATAGCTTCAAATATTCAGAACATTGTTCTTTCAGTCGCACATAGTACAAGTATTACTGTACATTCAATGCCAATGGTAGTATTTTATTCGGCTTTATATTTGTATGTGTATTGATATCTATTTAATATTTGAAGAATTCTATATTTTTCCGAGTAATATATTGTGCGGCCCGCTAATGCTTTGTATTATTGTTCATATAACATTATGTATACATTTTAACTTTCAGTATTTCTTCGTTGCACAATGTATACGCCTTGCGTCAATTTGACAGTTGACAGTTTATTTATCGCAGTCGACGCTAATTGGTTCGCGTTTAGCAGATGCGAAAAGGGGATGATTGAATAAAACGCATGGTTCCGTGCAGGCTCACCTTTCTCCCAGTGAGCCTGTTCGCAGGCTACTTACAGGTATAAATTCATGTATTTGATAAAAAATGCTAAAAATGCTCGAAACATAGCCATAAATGAGTTTATACTTTTGTATTGCTCTTCTTTTTTTGAAAATAACCGAAACCAAACCGAACCGAGGTTTTTCTGTTCCAAAAAGACCGGAACCGTATCTTCGACACAATACAGATAGAGTAAATATAGTTTCGTTTTCCTCAAATTCTAGTTTGTCACTATGTGTAGGGGGAGACTGACTATGAGGTAAGCGAAACTATGTATTTGCACAACGGATAAAGTTCAAAATTTCAATTATAAAGGTTATTTTGAATTTAGAGTTTCGATGGTAATCGCATGATATTCCATTATAATAGTGAGAAAGCCTAGAAACTCCAAAAGCTTGTGAATATTTCATGCTTCCGTTTTTAGTGCAAAGTTGCTTTGCACTATTGTTATGACAAAAATTCAATCCAGTGACCGAGCGATGGATCGATATATGCATCGATCTATAGTGTAAACAATCCGAGGGGAGCTTGCAAATTATTTTTTATTACGTTTTCTAGAGCTTCGCGACGTTCGGCCAACTAATCGTTTATAGCTGTTTATAGATTATAAAAATCTATATATATATTCATGATGGTACATGTTAATTATGTTATCCAACATTTAGAGAAGATATAACCAAATTACTGTTTCATTTCCAGCACTTCCCCGAGCCAACGGCGTCCCCGGGCGTAAGCCCGGGGCGAGGGTACTAACTCCGCCCGGCTATTTACACCCGGGGAAACGAAAGCATTACCCTGGAGCCAGAGGGTATTGTTTTCGCCTGTATTGAATAACCCTCTGGTGAAATTGGCGGGGTTTTTCGGGTTCATTCCACACATAACTTTCAAAATTGGAAGGAAAGAGTTGATTGGTTGCTGACTATAGGTTCGATAGACTACGTGTTCTGATTGGATATTGTAAACATCATAGCCTGTTCGCAGGCGTTTCGTGTTTTGATTGAATTGAAACACTTGAATTTTGAAATGTCTATATTAATAAACGAACAAAAGTGGAAAGAAGCAGTTTTATAGGCTGCATTAATAGATAGATTGATAAATTTCCTGAATTAAAAGTTTAACGGTGCATCAATACCGGGCCTTGTCCAATTTGATTCACCTTAAAGATGTATTTGCATCTTGCTATCGGTTATGGGAAAAGTTTAATATTCCAAAGTTCTAGCAGCGAGAGTAGCACGTCGACTTGGCTAAAGCCACAATTTTCCGGAGAAACCCATCTTAATAGTCATTTAATTTGCAAATTGAACTCTTTCATTGACTCTCACGTCCGTGAACTAAGAAAGCGTGGATTCCATGTTACTTCACTGTCAAACTAAGAGGACGAGAAAGCAATAATAGATGGAGAGTTTACATTCGTATTTTGTAATCCCGAGTCTATTATTCGAAATGCGAAATGGAGAGAAATGGTTTCATTTGAAATCTACAAGACAAATTTGCTTGCTTTTGTAACAGACGAAGTTCACGTCGTCCCAAAGTGGTGTGTTTAACATATTTAAATACAGATTTTTTTGAATGTATATTGCAGGATTAAATTGAATGTATATTGCAAAATTAAAGTGAATGAATATAAATATATATTTATATTAAATTGAATAGATGTGATGTTTTAAATTGAATGAAATTCAGGAGAATGAATATTGCTACAAATGGGCAGGCATTAGGCATACACTGGACAGTATACATGCGATATTTTTAAATAAAACCCTGTCTAGACGGCCTGGCGTCAAGGATAATGATTGGATAACATTTTTAGAATATGATGCATTATACATTTTTTGCATTCCTTATCCGAACCAGGAATCGCTAACAACTTCACCAGAGGTTTTTCCTTTTTCTTCGCGCGTTTTCTCGCATTTCGCGTTCGCCAAACCTAAAAAACCTCTGGGCCAGGGTATGAAAGCATTAGCGAAGTCTAAAGTTCATCAATGATCGCGGGCGTGGGTGACCAACGGTGTTGGAGTGTTGGGTGGGTAATTGCTAGATAGTATACTTCAAAATAAGTTTTCCGTTTTTATAACATAGAAAAAACCATCCTAACGCAAAACTAAACCCTAATACTAACCTTAACCCTAACCCCAACCCCAACCCTAGCCCTAACTTATTTAAAAAATTGATATAAAAACGGAAACCTTATTTTGAAGTATACTATCTAGCAATTTCCGTGTTGGGTGGGTGGTCATCCTCACTGATCTCAAAAATATGGCGGACTGTCATGAATAGCGAACACTGATTGGTCAAATTTAAAATTTGCATTATAACGATTAACGACTGCATGACGACAGCGAACTAGCAAACATTTCTTGATTTGATGATTTCTTGCAAATATATTTCATTTTTGCAAGATTTTGTGAATTTCAAAAGCTTTCTGAGAAAATAAAGGCGAAAGAATTGCTAAAAGAAGGGAATGAAGTCGCCGATGTTAACGAAGTGTATTTTCAATCTAAAAACTGTTGATATCAGTTCACGTTTTTCTCCAGTGTTTTATCACGTTTACCAGTGAGTGAAGTTTGAAATTATCATCTTGGATGATAGCAGTGATATTCAACTATATTGAAGACCTTGTAACCAACATGACTCCATAAATTAGCGGACATATTCACACTCATTTACATATCAAACAAATTGAAATATCTCGGGAACAAACCATAAAAACAAGAAACTGAAAAATAAGTTACACTACAGCTTAAAAGAGTTATTTCATTTAAGAAAATAAGAAATTTCATTTCATATGCACTTTCAGGTGGCTCCCTACAGTTTTAGGTCTGTATCGCGGAAATTTTGTCCACGCGCGAGATTAGTACCGGGTGTCCCAAAAAAAAGTACTCCGGTTTGATTCGTAATAACTTCTAAACAAATGAAGCTTTTAAAGAGAAATAACTTGCATCAAATAGAGAAAGGACTAACTTAGATTTTGATATATCACAGTTGTATTTCACTTAAAAATTCACGGAGATATTAATGTTCAAAGTCGGGAGCATATTTCTGGATGTGTCTGAAATATGCAAAAAACGGCGTATCAAATATTAATCAAGATTTGCCCGACTGAAACATGCACTATTACCAGTAAATAAATGACACTTGACAAATTGTTTATTATGAAACAAAGTATTATTGTAATCTACAAAATACAAGCAAGATTTATTCGTCCGAAATCCGCGTGTGATCCTAGCACGAATACGTTTCCTTAATTCACGAGACCATGCACTGCATCGCGAGGATCGTCATGGGTCGTTCGTAGTTCTGATTTAGGAGGGCATGCTGTCACAATGGAATTGTGAAGCTCTTCTAACTTCTGCAACGTTCTGAAATCTTGTTAAGAACACTCAAACTGTTTTGCCTTTTCTTAATCTTGTTAAGTTCAAAATAAACTGAGAATGAAACACAATCATACCATACAACTCCATAAGACATAACAAGCAACTCCCCAGAGACATCCAACATTTTTGGAACAAAACGTAACAAAATAGTTAGCGTTGATCCTGTGATGTGTATTTGCAAAAAGCAATATTATTTGCTTCATTAAAGAATAATATTCATGCATCCTGCTGTAACCGAAATTGAAATAATCAACTCTGTTTTGAACCCATGAAAAACATAAAAAAATTAGGCTATTTAAGAAAAATTTAAGCGCCTGCCTTGCATGGTCTTTCATGTACCTTTAAGTTTGTAAATGACCTTATTAAATACTTGCATAATTTCGAACGTTCATATTTCAGGAAACAATGAGTTAAGACTTACATGTAAGATGTCTAAATCTACACCATATCCCTCACAAACCCTAACGACTATTCGCTGAAATACAAGTTAGCCTGATATGTCATTAAGCAAACAAACGCTGGAGTTAATATTTGATATGCCAATTTTCGCTAATTTTAGACACATCCCAAAATATGCTCCCGATTTTGAACATTAATATCTCCGTGAATTTTTTAGGAAAATACAATTTGTAATATATCAAAATCTAAGTTAGTCCTTCCTCTATTTAATGCAAGTTATTTCTGTTTGATAGCTTTACTTCTTTAGAAGTTATTATAAATCAAACCGGAGTACTTTTTTTTGGGACACCCGGTAGTGCTACACGCAACACACGTGGTATATCTTTACTCTATGACGTGGTCGACGTTGCACACTTGCACGCGTGGCGGGTTTTTTAAAATTGCGTCGTGATATACACGCGCGGGCCTTCGTGGGATTGTCGGCTGGTCGCGCGAGGAAATTGAAATCCTGATTTTTGTGACGTCACATAGATAAAAATAAATGTATTTTTCTCGTGTTTCCTTCGGTAAAATTTTTTAAAACTTCACACACTTTCCTGTAATCTTGAAGTGCGTAAAATTTGCAAGTTCTAAGAAAATCGTACGAGCCCAATTTTTTTTATTCCAAAAACAGGGCTTTTTGAGGATTAAAAAAATAATTCTCGTCCGATTTTTTTTAAATGCTATCATTTGAAGGAATTATAGATAACATTACTGTGTGCAAAAAATTAAAAAGTTTTACCGAAGAAATTTTCAAAAAATTATCAAAGAATCTGCAAATTGGCTCTTTTTAAAATCGCTTTGTTACCATGGCAACGGGGATTTTTAACGACATTTTTTATTTTTCGTAATTCGCGATATTGTAGCAGTTATTTGGCCGAGTTTCGTGATTATACTTTGCAAGATGAGAAAATAATGTTTTTTTGAATACAATTGAGTGTGCTTTACAATCAAAACTGTAGGGAGCCACCTTAAGTGAAAAAGACGGCATATAATTTCAGTGTTTCTTTATTGATTACCCTTTTTTATTATATTAAAATTTTTAAATAAAAAAGAAAGTAAAGTTGTTTGAATGCGAGAATTTGAAAGCATTTTATTTCAAACTCAAAGTTTATCGATAACGGCAATTTAGTTTTATAAAGAACATTTAAAACGTCTTGCGAAGCGTTTGAGGTTGAATTTTACCTTAAATTGAAGCTTATATTACGTTCAATAACATACCTAACATATATATGTTTGGGGAATTGATAATTTTGTAATTAAAAGTGCTATTTTTAGGGGATTTTTGACATTTTTCATTGTAGTCTAGGACCTGTATATGAGTTTGTATGCGATTCATTTAGGACAGGTAATCTCAACTGTTTTAGGGTAAAATGACCATGGCGGTCAACATGGCATATGTGCGAAAACCTGAATCCGGGACGAAAGTCCTGAAACTGACCCCGCCCTGAAACGGCAGTGTCGACATAGCTCTAACTTCCGAAAAGGAAAAGCGATAGCCTTTCTGAAGTGCTTATAGTGTTTAGAAGGGTTGCTTTTAGGGGTGGTCATTGGAAGGAAAAATTTGTCGAAGTATAATATTTTACCAGAAAATGACTATGCACCACCCCAGGTAAATTGCTGATTATGCACAAAATAACTAATATGCCTGGCAGAAATTAAATATTCTTATTTCCTAAAAAAATTATCATGGGGTGAAAAACTATGCTTAATTTAATATAAATATTGTTGATTTCATAAGGATTGTCGTTGTTTTCTTTAAATATAATACATTTTATTTCACTTACCCCCCACGAAAACACTATTTCAGCCATATTTTGCCGTCTTGTTTGCTTTTTATCGCCGAATCTCGCAAATATCATCCAGTTATTGTACTTTTACACAATCATAAATGGCTGAAGAAGATTTCAAAGAAGGTTTCATCCACTTTTGTAACAGTGCAGTGTATTTTACCTTCGATATTGTGTCCTTCGATATTCCGCCAAATTGCCGCCATTTTAATGGCTCGCCGCTTCTCTGTCTGAACTCTGATAAATGCAACTTCTTCGTTTCCATATGTATTTAGATTACAGTATCCAAGAGTACTTCATATTTTAAAAATATTATACTTCGATAAATTTTTCCTTCCAATGACCACCCCTAAAAGCAACCCTTCTAAACGCTATAAGCACTTCAGAAAGGCTATCGCTTTTCCTTTTCGGAAGTTAGAGCTATGTCGACACTGCCGTTTCAGGGCGGGGTCATTCTCAGGACTTTCGTCCCGGATTCAGGTTTTCGCACATATGCCATGTTGACCGCCATGGTCATTTTACCCTAAAACAGTTGAGATTACCTGTCCTAAATGAATCGCATACAAACTCATATACAGGTCCTAGACTATTGGGAAAAATATTCTTAACAAAATTATCGTGTTACCATGACAACTACTTCAAATACTTCATGTTCGGAAAATACAATGGTTTTTTCAGCAAGGCGAGGGGTTTCTGCATGCATGTATTTTCTAGTTATTGTATGATTTCCTCCCCCTCCCCCCCCCCTGCAACATCGCGCAAATGAATTAATAAACGTGACGAGCGGTGACTATTGAGCGTGGAATCGTGTAGACTAGAGTGTATTACAACTGAGGTTGACAGTATTATGAGAAAATCTTTGAGATTCTACCCAATATATAAATTGATGTTATGCATTACGGGCATTCAATTAATTGCCGATATTATTTTGACGGTATATTCATTATACAGAGCTGGGAAGGAGCGAGACAGTGTTCTTATCAAATGTATGAACATTTCAGACGTAAATATTGAGAACATCTTTGCGATTTTACCCAATATATAAATGATTTGATTTTATGCATTACGCGGGCATTTAATTAAGTGCCAATATTATTTTGACGTTATATTCATTATATACAGAGCTAGGGAGCAGCGACACAGTGTTGTTTTCAAAGGTATAAACATTTCCGACGTAAATATTGAAATATTGAGAACATCTTTGCGATTATACGCAATATATAAATTTATTTTATGCATTACGGGCATTTAATTAAGTGCCAATATTATTTTGACGGTATATTCATTATACAGAGCTAGGAAGGAGCGAGACAGTGTTGTTTTCAAAAGTATAAACATTTCAGACGTGAATATTGAGAAAATCTTTGAGATTCTACGCAATATATAAATTGATGTTATGCATTACCGGCATTCAATTAAGTGCCGATATTATTTAGGCTGTACATTTTACAGCGACTGTATAAGGTGCTACACCACAGAAGAGATGGCTACACTCAGACACTCAGTACACTGAAAAGCCTGAAATACTCTGAAACCACACATACACAGAACATATACAGCACGTGCGTGTTTGGCTCTCTAAATATAGAAATGCTATTGGGTTCAGAGGACATTGTGAAAAAGACGGAGTGCGGAGTACTGAGTCTGTCAAAACATAAGTCCTAAAGATTCGATTTTAATGAGACTCCGCGTTTTCCACTTTATGCCCCTATGCACTTGCAGTGTCTTTTTCAATGTGAAACTTTGCACTATCCGTGGATCCCTAGTTGGATGTTTGCATTCTTCCAAAAATACGCCAGAGGGAATGCCGAACGTTTACTCTAATGTATCAATGCATGTGCAATAGTGCTAAACTAAAGTTTCTGTATTGAATATTAAACATAAGTTTAGGCATAGACCTGTGACGGACCAACAAGCCTTACTGTACCTTGAATATTGACAAAATGCCAAATCTATTCTTGCATGCCATAATTTATACTGTATGTTACTCAAACTATTACTCTTATACTCACTATATATAGTGTGGAGACTTATTTGACGCTATTGTTCAAGCTACGAAATACACGGAGCGGGACGCTAGTCACATGATCGGAGACCTCGTATCCGCTTTGAGTTATCTACACGATCTTAGTGTTATTCATCGAGATATAAAACCTGAAAATTTACTGGTAAGTTATATACATTCGATTCTTATATAGGCTTAATATCACGTCGCCTGCTTTGAGTTTTAGTACCCTATAGCTGTTGTTCGATAGTTAAGTCAACTTATACTATTCGATTGTATATATTTACAGTATATATAAATTTTAAATTTTTTTCCATAGGTTGTATATAGTCCAAATGGTGTAATGTCTCTGAAGGTGGCAGACTTTGGTTTAGCGACTGAGGTACATGAACCTCAGTTTCTCGTCTGTGGTACACCTACATATGTGGCTCCGGAGATTCTGGATGAATCTGGGTAAGCAACGTATTAATTTACCATGCATATATATTATATAAAGGTTTATTAAATTGATAAATTGTGCATGTCAAAATAACTCAATTGAAATTTGGTAAAAGGATTTCTATACTTTAAGTTCTATACACAGTAAAATGAAGGAGTAGAAAAGACAAGCTTGCTTGAAAACAATGCATGCCGGTATAGATATTTAGAGGTCAAGTAAGATGACATGTTTTTGAAAGCATCATAGTTAGATCCCGAATAATCTAGCATCTTCATAATCAAGAATCATAATCAGCCCGTTTCAGATACCCTAGCTTGCAGTATTATTGTATGAACCTTAATATACTATTGGGGGAATGTATAATTGTTCATGGCAATTCAATTGGTGAATTCAAGTAACAAATCCGACACTCAAAGTAAGGTTTGAATGTAAAAGTTAATAAGATGCTGAAAACGAATGCATGTTGTAAATTAAATAAAAGTGGATTTTCGGTCAATGCTATCTTGTCTGAACACCTGTATCAATCCTAAGCATGTGATCATTGCTTTTCCCATGCTCTATGTTTACTGTGTGTTTTAAATAAAAATGTTTACTATTTTATTTATGTTTAAGATATGAGCTTAAAGCAGATGTCTGGGCTGCTGGAGTTATCACTTACATACTTCTTTGTGGATTTCCGCCTTTCAGGAGGTAGTCTTTCGTGTGTGAATGTGCATTTTCTACCATGCCTTTATGTAATATATACAGTAAATGAACAATTGTTGTTTTCGTCTAAGCAGGATGATAAGATTTGTCAAGGCCAATGTTTTCGTTATCTGACAAGTCCTGAAATTGGTATACTTAGGCGTTTGTCATTGTACAGACATATAATTAACGCGTCTTTCTTTGAGTTTTGATATCCCTGGTTAAATTTCCTCCTTATTTTTTAACTTCCTACCATAATCGGGTTAATGTATATGAAGAATCTGCTCATATATGACTATAGGACGTCATCGATCGTTAAATTAACCAGATTATGTTCGGTGTAGGAAACTAGTTTTATCTGATATTTTATATATCTAACAGGGTTTCTGTATTTTCATTAGCAATGATCAAGAGGAGCTCTTTGATATGATTTTAAGTGGAGATTACGAATTCCTTTCACCGTTTTGGGACAACATTTCACAGTCAGCCAAGGTTCATTAGTGTTCTTTTTTTGTTTTTGTATCTTAGTGCACTGTATTTGTACTCTGCTACCGGGGGAATGGAATGTGGTAGGATGCATCAATTCCAAATAATCTTTCATCATAAAATGGATGATTGAGTTCTATTTTCGTTTGGTGTACATTTCTTTATGTTGTTTTATACGTTTTCCGCCCTGTAACTTACACTGTTTCTTATACATGCTAGCAAAATTATGTTTCCGATGGCACCTATATGCAGCAATGAATCCATGCAGTTAACAGGATTTCTTCAGACATGAAAACGTTTGAATGTTAATTTATCTTAAAAACAACTTTTTAAGCAATTAAAATGGCGATTATAATGTGATTACTTATACACAACAGGGAACTTATATTAAACAACTTTCGTATAGTAGGGTATAGAACAACCTCACTTATAGTTTTCATGCGCTTGTTTCTTATCCAGGACTTGATCAGTCGTATGTTACTCATCAACCCGAATGAAAGGTATTCTGCAAGAGATTCCCTAAACCATCCGTGGATCCAGGTAAATGCATGATTATTTTCATTCTTTTGTATACATCTCCGACGAATAATTTCATACTTTATACTAACCGTTTTATTAAGTAAGCATCTACCCACCATTGTTGTGGGGTATGCATACATTTTCTGGCAATAAATATGTAATATATTTATAGGGTCATACAGCAAAAGATACGAATTTGCAAAGCACATTTGCAAGTGAAGTTAACAAGAATTTCCAATCTAAAAAGAAGCACCGTGCTGTAACAGCTAAACCTCAAACAGTACGTATTACTTTTATACTTGCTCTATAAAGAACTTTCATTCTTAGTTATATTATGCAACATTGTGTGTAACATGGAGAACTTTCGATCCTTTTTATTTGATGTTCCATAATAGGTTTTGACACTATGAATATTGGATAAATACTTTGATATATTTAGAATACGTTTCCTGCATGCAATCACCATATTTTCCTCTGAAATTGAGGAGTTTGATTCGAAATTGAAGAGTCTGAAATTGAGGAGTTTGAGTCTTGAACCAGTATGGTGTGGTTTAACACATCATGAAAATGTACATACTTTGACGCACCAAGTTTGACCAAAATTTAAAGCTGTACAAGCTTCGTAGCCGATAATTATAATGAAATATATCCTTATAACGACTGCGGTGAGGTATTCAACAGAAATTTGCTTCTGCATTCAAATTATGACGTTACGTTCTATAGTTAGTCCTAGAAACAGATCCAAAAATTCCCTTAATTAAACTTAATCGGTCGTTTTGTATTTTGCCGGACTGTGAACTCTCCCTTTAGGTATTCAGGTAAATTAAGCAGATATCCTATATTATATCTGCCAACTTTGGTTTCCCTGGCAATTTTCTAAGTGAAGATGTATACAATACTCACTGCACATTCTTTTTTTTGGAAAAGTCTTCAGAACTTTGTGAGGCAAATACAGTTGAATATGAAGTTGAAGAAAGTGACGATGAACCAAATGCTGTAATGCCAGTTATTGAAGAAGATAATGAACTACGAACAGACCAGGTTCAATTTAGACACACACCACTAGCTACTACTGGAAAAAGGAAACCCAGGCCAAAAAGTTTGGACTTTCATATGATGGGAAGACATAATGAAGACTATAGTCAACCAGATTATGAATTGACTCAAAGGAATCTAAGGGAGGAATTCAACGATGAAGATGAGTATTACTAAAATTAATTTATTTAAATTAAAAAAAAATATATATATATAGTTATATTCAATATATCTTTGTAAATACTATGATAATCAGATTCATCATTTCATGACTATGATAATCAGATTCTATACTATGATAATCAGATACTATGATAATCAGATTCATCATATATATATATATATATATATATATATATATATATATATATATATATATATATATATATATATATATATATATATATATATATATATATATATCACAAGTTTTGTAACGTATAGTGAAGAGAGTGCTCAATACATAAAATTTTGTAGAGCGAATGTAATTACTATTCTTACTTAAAATATTTTTTGTCTCTACTCCGAGTTTCACGCATCACTGCGATCATCAGGAGACATTGTTCTCAAATACCGTTTGATTTTCGTTGTTTGATGGCGTGACTGCGCGCGCGCGCGAGGATTGTTGATGTTGCTTACACGCGCGCAGACTACATTTCCCGCTAAAAATTGTTTCTGGTGCACGCACTTCGAGAAGATTTCCGATCTTTTGTTGAGTAGATTTCTGTCGCGAGATTTTAAAATCAGCAGCTTCTCTTGCAAGCATAGGTTGCATCTTGGTCTTCCGCTTGTGTATGGGACAGCCTTCTTCAGAATGGACCAAGTGGTGTTGTAAGGTCTTCCGCTTCTCTTCAATTTCCAAATATGCTTCGATAGCTCCGTTTCGTTCGCATATCTCTGAAGCTGGAATGATTTTTTATGGTTTCTGTACCTGTCTTTGAATTCCCCAGCTGTTACCCCAATATACCGCTTCGTTTCACCGTTGTCGTGACTCTTTACTTCGGCTTGGTACACGATAGCCTGTGTCAGACATTTCTTCTGGAGGGGGCATTCATCTTTCTTGCGGCAGTTACAGTTAATTTCTTCTGTTGCCGTGGGTTCGGTCGATCTAATTCTCGTGTTGTGGTTAGAAATGGTTGTCTTGACATTCTTCATGCAGCTGTAATTAATTTTGGTTGAATTGCGGTTAAAGATCTTATGCAGACGACTTGATTTAGGGAAATGTTTGTCGATAAGTTGAAGAAAGGTTTTACCAATGTTTGTTGCTACGTTTTTGCTGTAAGGTGGGTTAAACCATAGTATGTTTCTGTGTCTTTTGCGTTTGGGTTGGCTGGACGTACAACTCTCAGTGTTGGTGTCGTCAATATTACTTGAAGGCGTGGCATTGTATTGTAAATTAAAATCATAATTACTACGACGTAATGCATTCTCGTAGGTTGGTGCTGATGAATTGAAGGTTTGCTGATCAGAGGATAAATTTGATATACGGTTATTTATTGATTTAGGTAGTTGTTTAATTATGGTTGGTGGGTGGTTCGAACGACTGTCAATGTAAATGGGTTCATTATTGGGTTTTCTATATGGTTGGTAGCGTTTCTCTGCAAGGTTGAATGTGACGTCTAGAAAGTTGACAGATTGGTGGTTTACTTGGGCCGTAATTTTCAAGTTGAACTGTTCGAATAATGTATGCAACTTTTTCCGTACCTTATCAGCAATGCGCCCGCTCTTTCCTTTGATTAAAACAAGTCCGTCATCCCGATACAAACCAACACGTTCTTTCCCAAACTCATTGGTAAGGACATTTAGCATATATAAGCCGACAAGATCATATATTTCAGCGCCGTCATTATTTTTTTTTTATTTTTATGCAGATATCGGATGCTGATTTTAAAATCTCGCGACAAAAATCTACTCAACAAAAGATCGGAAATCTTCTCGAAGTGCGTGCATCAGAAACAATTTTTAGCGGGAAATGTAGTCTGCGCGCGTGTAAGCAACATCAACAATCCTCGCGCGCGCGCGCAGTCACGCCATCAAACAACGAAAATCAAACGGTATTTGAGAACAATGTCTCCTGATGATCGCAGTGATGCGTGAAACTCGGAGTAGAGACAAAAAAACATTTTAAGTAAGAATAGTAATTATATATATATATATATATATATATACATATATATATATATATATATATATATATATATATATATATATATATATATATATATATATATATATATATATATATATATATATATATATATATGTAAAAGTTCATAAGATGCTGAAAACGAATGCATGTTGTAAATTAAATAAAAGTGGATTTTCGGTCAATGCTATCTTGTCTGAACACCTGTATCAATCCTAAGCATGTGATCATTGCTTTTCCCATGCTCTATGTTTACTGTCTTATCTTACATATACAGGGTGTATAAAAAAAAGCGCAATCCTCGACTGAAATGTAAATTGCTAAACAAATAATTGACGAAAACTTTAAAGTTTACATTCATTTTAAAGCGTAGCCATTCAGCTTTCTAACAGTGGGTTGTTTCGTAAATTTGACTCATTGGTTCGCGGGTAATAATACTTTACGTTATTGCGATTGGAGATTAAAAAAATTGAGATGGAATAACAATTGAAATCGTTCTCATGAAAATAACTGATTTTTTCATTAAAACAAAAAAATGTTGCATATTATTAAATGGATTGTAACAAGTATAATTACGGCTTTTCTTCCACTATTTTTAACTCAGTTTGAAACTTCAAATGCGATATAATTTTGGCTTGGACCATCTAAGCTGACTGACATCAACTTGCTATAATTTCTGTTTACATTACATCGCAATTCGATGACACTCTGCCGCTCAGACACCAGAATGTTTTGACGATTTTTAGCATTCGTTTAGGATTTTCAAACAACCTGGTCTCTTTTAAAATACTTTTAATTTGTTCTTACGTGGTTTTCCAGATGTAGTGAGGACAACATTAAAGTCTACAGAAGAAAATTCTAACATTTAAACCGACTAAACAATAACATAGTAAACTTGCATAATTAAACAGCAACTAAAAATTATAGGTTTTACTAAATCTTCTCCTATGCAATTATTACTAGCATTGGAGACAAGGATAATAGCTTGTTTGAAAGAGAAAAGAACAGGCTTTGAAGTAAGCCTAAAAGCGTTTAACTAGAAATAGTATTTCGAAAGTTATTAAGCACAAAAGATGAATTGCGTTTATTTGGATACACCCTGTATATGTGAATAACTTTTGGGCCTGTTCATATGAGCTCAACTTCACTATAAGTTAACACCGCATTCATTCGTGTGAGAGTGCCGAGGCAGGCGGGATTAAAATTTCCCATATTAACACGCCAGCTCACTTTGTGATCGTGAGAAAAGTATTTAACAAGTGATCAAACTAATGCGATTGGATCATTCGGACATTTTCTGTTTTGAAACAACTGCATGCAGTTTCGCCACCCCGAATGGACAATACATGTATTTGCATTGCCGACATATACTACTGCGAGTACATGCAAGTATGGGGCAGACACAATTGTGCAACTTTGAACACAATGCCTTGAACGTAATGTTGCACCGGGATAGACTTTTTTGCTATCCGGCGGGATACCGGATATGCCGGGTAGTTGAAAATAGGCCGGATTATTCATATTAGGTTCAGGAAGGGAAGGTTCTGGCCTCATTTGAGTTCAAACAGTATTGATTTTAATTGGTTTAAAATTGAAAGTGTTTATAACAATAGGAAATAATTTTACAATCATATACTACATCATGCAGATATCGGTCAACATGCATGATTGCTAAAAAAGTTCAAATGATAAATCCACTTTTTCGCATTTGCAAACGAGATTGGAAAATCTTCAAAATTCTGCCAGCTTCTCTGTGTGCATTTCAAGTAAAAAGGCCTGTAAAGGAGGCATGATTAACCTTATATAAACAATATCCGGCCGGATATGCATGAAATTGGGTGCATCTCTCTACACACGTAAAAACGCACAAGTTGTAACAAGTCTGCAAACAAGTTGTTACACGTCTGTTCACAAGCTGTCAACAAGTTGTGCTCGCACTGCTTGTTCCCAGTTTGTTGTAACAAGTTTGAAACAAGCTGTTAACAACTTGTAACAAGCTTGATGGCATTATCAGCCTTGTTACAAGATTGTGCTAACAAGTTTGTTACAGCCATGATATAACAAGGATGTTACAAGGTTGTCAACACAAGGTTATAACAATCTTGTTATATCAAGCATGTCAGCACATATCAGCACAGACTTGTCAGAACAACCTTGCAACAAGTCTGATAATTTCGACAAGGTTGTTACAAGTTGTCAACAAGTTGTTCCAAACCTGTTGACAAGTTGTGACAAGCAGTGCGAATACATCTTGTTAACAGCTTGTGAACAGACTTGTAACAAACTTGTGCGTTTTTACGTGTGTACTTGAGTGACGGGACAAATATATATTTTCTATGTTTGTTCTTAAACGTGTTAACATTTGTGTTTGCTCTATACTATAGCTAAATTATTATGGCCTTGCGGCTAGCTTTTAAACCACAAAATTTGCCCAAGTTCGAATCGTAAGCATGTGCAGCGGCCTTTTTATATTTTGTTTTTAATAGCAATGTGTCAAATTTTGCAATGTGTCAAATTTTTGTGTCAACTTGTGTGGATTCTAGTTTCCTATAATTATATAAACACTTAATTCTCAAATTTGCACAAGAGCAACGTACCAAAATTTGCTTTTTGGATTAAATGTGTTTTGTTGAATATAAATATATTTATAAGTAACAATTATTTTTGTACAAAGATATGACCTAATATATTATAATAATTGCACTAATATAGCATTAAAGAAAAAACATCAATATATGAACAGTACAAAGTATACATCGATCTGATTTCAAATTCTTATACATATAATGGGGAGGGGGAGGAGTGGTATAACAAAAGTTTTATATCTGATTTTATTTGTTGTCTGTACATGGTATTTGTCCGCAAAAACATTTTTGCGCTATTGCGATAGTGGAAGGAAGCCCATGATTTACCTGGAGAAGAGAGGCCTTACCAAAAATATTATAATTTATAGCCGTGTTTTTGCTTTTTGATTTGGTCAGTGAGAGAATTTTTTTAAAAATTCACTTTATATTTCTCATTGCCTGACGTATAGGGCTATTAGTAAAACACGGAGCACACGGAGTACGGAGCAGTAGAAAAACGAAAAACCTTTATAATAAAATACACTGTTTACTATTATAAATTTTTGTTATTATTAATAAAGTTTTTTCGCGTTTTACACGTTGGGGAAGTAAGAAAATTGGGCTTTTAAAAAACACATGCAAAACTGCCAAAAGCCATAGTTGTATTTAAAATAGGATTGTGAAACTCGTTATCTTATATCTATCAAGCTTATGTAGTTATGTTTATAATTTACTCTCTATATTATATTATATTATATTATATTATATTATATTATATTCCGATGGCCAACGCATAAAGAAACACTTCGTCTTCAGAGGAAACACTTAGACGTCTTTAGACTGACAGCCGATATATTTCGTTACCCCTGCCAAAAAATAGCCAAGTATACTTATCCTTCAATGCAGCGGATCGACTGAACATTAAATCTTGTGATGAGAAAAGTGAATTTTCGGTTTATCCTTCGGCTCAGTGACCAGTGGCAATGTGCTGTACGGCCTACGTTTAAACCGTTATACATGCAGTACGTCATTACTGCTTTCATTCTTTCAATCCGTTTTGAATATTCGGAATCATTCACAATATTATAAAACTGTACGATAGCTGCAGAACTATAAATGCTTTGGATTAAAATAAAATAAAATAAAATAAAATAAATAAAGAAAACTAAGACTAAGTTTTATCGCAGTATTTGCCGATAAATCGGTAATCGCTACAGAAAAACAACAAATTACAGTAAATCACAACAAACCGCGGAAGTGAGACAATTTTTGTAATGTAGAACATGTACGAAATCCATACAGAAGTGTGTGTGTATTCTATACTTCTGAAACAACTAAATCAGACTTCGGAAATTTTGACAGTATTAAAGCTGCTTCTGAGAATTTAGATTTTAGGTCTTCGTTTTACATGTACCCGGTCCCAGTAAATATTTTGGAGTTTTTGAATTTTGATTCTCAAGCTGTTTAAATTAATAAATGCGTATAAATCGACACCAACGGCGCAACGCCTCAAAGGCGAAAAGAAGGGCAAGATTGTAAGAATCGCTTGTAAACACGAGCAGTTTCGAGCATAAACATGAAATTGAAACGAGTAATTTAACGAGTAATTTAATTTGATTGACTATTAAAATTCAGGAATCTAGTCAAGTGTACGTGTATTTGTTACAATTTACTCTGCTGTGGCAGAGTTGATCGGAATTGTAACAAATACACGTACACTTGACTGGCTTCCTGAACTTAGTCAATCAAATGCGTTAAATCACTCGTTTCAATTTCATGTTTAGATAGATAGATAGATAGATAGATTGTTTGTTTAATAAGATTAACACATAGCAGCCAAGAGGCTGAATTGCGTGCTAAATTTTACAAGAGAAATGATTAAATTAGTTATTCTATATTTACAGAAGTTTAAAATTACATTACAATTTATAATTCTATATTACAGAAGTTTAAAGTTACATTACAAATTAGCTATGAAACTAGTAAATTTCTAAAAAATGTTAGCCAGTCTAAAACTGAATATCAGAATCGATTGTCAGTTAATATTATTGATATGCCTTGCAGATGAAGGGAAAAAACTGTTTCTAAATCTGTTCGTTTTGGTCTGAGGAACAACAAAAGACCTTGAGTGGCTAAGGTCGTAATTTGGAAAGTATCTAGATGGTACATGATTATGCATATTAGCTACTGGTGTTGTGGTGATTTCATTAAACAGTTTCTCGCATGCATCCACACGCCTGTCACTTAATGGGTTGATGCCCGATTTTTGTAAACAATCCGCATAACCTGTCAGTGGATAGATGATTGATAAAACACGCTTTTGAACCCGTTCCAGGGCATTAGATAAGTAGGAAGGAAGGGCGAAGTGGAAAACTTGACAGCTGAATTCCATGACTGGTCTGACGCAGGTAGTGTAAAAATTTATTATGTCAGCTTCAGGTACGTGAGCACGTTTCAACTGAATAATAAAATAAATGCGTTTGTTCGCCTTCTTAACTATGTTAGTTATGTGTTGGTTCCATTTTAGATCTTTAGAAATTGTCAAACCTAGGATTCTTGCGTGGTTCACTGTCTCGATTTGGCCCGAGATGATCTTAAGGCGCGGAAATTCTTTCTCAGGTTTTGTAAAACGGATAACAAGTTCCTTGCACTTGGAGGCATTTAATTGCATCTTGTTTTCTACAGACCAATTTTGAACACAATCGACTGTATCTTGAATTTTACTGGGTGTGTTGATGTAAATGATTTCAGATACCGTAGCATCATCGATGTATTTCCATCGCTCATAATGTGGGGGGCGTAGGTCATTTATCATTAGGATGAATAACCAAGGTCCCAATTTGGTTCCTTGAGGGACACCGGAAGGAATGTCAATCCATTCAGACATACAGTCTCTTGCAAGTTTCACCCGTTGTTGCCTGTTCATCAGAAAGTCAATTACCCAACGCTTAATGAAATTTGGCATTGGCAATTGGATGATTTTCGTGGCTAAGATCTTATGATCAATCAAGTCGAAGGCCTTCTTATAGTCAAAAAGAACCACTCTTACAGCGTTTCCAGTTCCATCTGTGGCTTGAGTCCAGGCATGAACCATAGAAATTAAGGCTTTTGTAGCAGATGATCGAGGGATGCCACCAAATTGAAAAGGATCAATTGACGACAACACTGTTGGAGCGATATATTTTTCAACAACAAACTCTTCTGCAAGTTTAGACAGAACCGGAGTTAACGAAATAGGTCGGAGCTGTTTGCTTATGTCTTTAACAGGTTTCTCTTTCGGAATAGGTGTAATGTTAGCTTGTTTCCAGCATGAGGGCAGTCTTTTTTGCTTGTAGGACGAATTCAATAAGTCCGATACAGAGGGAGCAAGGGTTTCGGCATAATCACGAAGAATCCAATTGGGGATATCATCAGGGCCCGGAGCTTTATGCGGGTTCAAGCTTTTCAGTTTTTTCAAGACCGATGCAGTATTTGTCAAATTCATGTTTACATCTAACGGATAATCAGGAATCTCCTCAAACAAGGTGTTCAAATCTGTAACATTTAAGGGATCATAAGTATTCATTGGTTCTATTAGGCTTTTGTTAATTAAATCTGCAAAACCTTTGTTTGTTAAATGTTCTGTATCTTCGACATAAAGTTGGTTAAGCAAACTGCCAGATACAGGTCTCATACCGGAGATACGTTTAACCTCTGTCCACCAAGATTTGGGGTTAGACTTTTTCAGATTAGCAACTTTTGAAGCAAAATAGTCTGCCCGGCAAGATTTTCTCATTCTATTCACTTTATTTCGGTAGAATTTGAAAAGAGTAGTGCTATTAGATGAAAACGCACGTTGTCGAAACTTGATCAGCTGTTTCAATTTTTCGGTTATCCATGGGTTGTCGTTGCGATGGAATTTAACGTGTTTCTCAGGCATAAGGATGTCATAACCCGTCTTTATTGCAGAGCATAAGATATCACAATTCTTATCGCACGGTTCGGAGGAATCGATAAGTTGCCAGTCAAAGTTACTCAGATATCGACCAAGTTCTTTTTTGCGTGATTGACGTATGTCTCTTTTCGTATATAAATGAATATAACGCAGCGAATGCGCCAAACGTACAGTATAAACGCGGCTGAAATACGATATTAAAATCTTAAATGTGCCGTATGATTTTTTAATTATGTTTTGGAATTTACAAATGCTTTGTCATTTGTATTTATACTTGTACTGCATCACAAGGCAGTACGTAAGTGAAAAAATTCCACATGTGAGATTGTCTTGTATACTTTTTGCTTTCTTTGATAAACATTATTAATTAAACACGCAAATTTTAATTAGTGATTTAACCCCTGGTCTAATTGGCCGCTTTTAAAAATGTTGATCATGACGAACCGCACTGCCTTAATTATGCAAACTTTGTGTTTTAAAAACGGGTTAGGATAAAACACAGATACGGACGGACGAATGAATGACGGACGGACGGATGGCGACGGACGGACCGGACGGATTACATATATATGTCATTATATAGTCTGCGCGCAGCCGCGCAGGGTAGTTAGTGGCTTACGTCTTCGCTGGTTGTTATACTTTAAAATAATTTTGTATATACCGAGAAATCAATATTCCGAGTATATAAATATATAAACTGGGATGTCACACGGTGGTTTAACCCATTAGCTGGCAATGCGCCCTTCCCTTGTCCAACGCCAGAAGATTTTACTCGTCAGTGGTATAGGGTACTGCCAGTAAATGGGTTAACAAACATATCTGCCAATGGCTCTTGTTAATTCATCAACACAGTAATGGCCCCTACTTTAGTATTTACCCTGTCCAACGCCAGACGATTTTTAATACTCAGCCAGTGGTAGGGTACTGTCAATAAATGGGTTGACAAGGATAACAATAATAGGATGTTTCTGAAGGACTCGTTCAACACCCTGTAGTTTGCCAGTTTGCTGTCAAAGGCAGCATTACTGCCCTGTGGGTAATCTAGTATACGAAATACACAGTGAACAACAATTTACAATATTTCACTCCATGCATGGTCTACTTTCCAGACCCTGTGAAGATATATTTTTCAAAACCATTTACTCAAATGAGATACAGGAAAATTACACAACACAAAATCACAAGCGACTGTGCAAGTCTTATTACCAATTCCAAATTTGCAATATCGCAGTATGGTCAAATCCTACCCTGTGACTGAAATTCATGTGCATCATCAAATCACACCTATCAATTATACCAAGTATAATAACTTTACTTATTATATGGACAATTGTGTTTTACTGGAAACTAAAACACTCGTAGAACTCATACGTCACTACATCCGGGACCAGATGCGCGTATTTTACCCCTGCTAGTGACATACGAAGTTCGAAAATTTCCCGCCATTTTCATTGTTGTTGTTTTTGAAAATACAAATGGTCTTTGGTTCGTATTTAAAACGAAATTAACGTTGGAAATAAAACGAAAACATTTAAAAGACATCTTGAGATAAGTAAAATTTATTTTAGTTTTATGTTTGCACTTTAATTTTAAAAAATATCGCTTTTATATACAGGTCTTTCGCGTGCTTATTTACATGTCGTCTTTGTATGTATTTTTGTCACTCTGAGTAAGTCCATATAATAAACAGAACATTAAACGGTTGCGAGAAGATATGGATTTATGTTCTCATGTCAAAAACAATATCTCATTCGTTCGCTGCGTGCACTCGTGAGATATTGTTTTTGCCACTCGAACATAAAATCCATATCTCTTCGCAACCGTCTAATATATGTCCTCTATATACAGTACATGCTAACTTCAATTACGATATTTCTACAATGGATTGACATAAAAAGACACAAAAGAGCGCGCGTATTATATATACGCGTGCAATTTTTATACAATATTTCACGGCATGGTCTACTTTCAAGACCCCGTTGAAAATATAAGAAATCCATTGGATAAATAATGATTATAAGTAAACTACAGATCCAAGACCCATGTAGAGGTCCTATTACCTATCCCAAAATTAAAAGATCACTCGTTCTGCCAGAGTAAAACAGTTACTAGCTGAGTTACAGTACAGCAAAAACCTGCATCGAGGAAACTGCACATTCAGAACATTAGGTAGTTATAATTTTTTCTGTGTTGGTGTAATGTACTTAGGTGAATATGATGCTTGTGATGTTACTCTGGGTGTATATCCACACTGCATGGGCAAACTTGAAAAATATGCCTGTCCACGGGACGTGGGAATCGAACGTACGACCTTTGGAATACTAGCCCAATGCTCTGCCAACTGAGCTACGCGCGGTCAGATCGGTTCGAGTTTTGATATTTTAGGAACAGAATCTAGTTCCTTCGATATCAATGTAATCTAGTAATCATGCGGATTTTTTCTGTGTTGGTGTAATGTACTCAGGTGAATATGATGCTTGTGATGTTACTCTGAGTGTATATCCACAACGGACAAGCTTGAAAAATATGCCTGTTACGTTCGAAGGCCATATTCTGTTCCGAAATATCAAATACTCGAACCGACCTGACCGCGCGTAGCTCAGTTGGCAGAGCATTGGGCTAGTCTTCCAAAGGTGGTAGGTTCAATTCCCACCGTGGCGCCAGGCATATTTTTCAAGCTTGCTCGGTGTGGATATATACTCAGAGTAACATCACAAGCATCATATTCACCTGAGTACACTACACCAACACAGAAAAAATAATAATAATAATAATAATAATATAAAATAATATTTATTAACAATACTATTAATTGTTGTATTACTTTTCTTATCCGCGTTTTATTTTTACCCCTCCATCAGTTGGTACACCTTATAACATGCAAAAAAGACTTAAAAAACATAGCCAAATTCGAGCTTGAAATTCATGAGGTTTTGTCCCACTGCGTGCCGAAGTGAATTTCCGCCACTATAGAAGTATCCCCCTGTGAATGTCTGTGAAGTTGGAAGTTAGATTTAGTCAGACTACTTACAAAGCTTCCAGTGTATTATTGTCTTTAAATAATTTAGAAGGTATAGTTGAAATATCTTTGTTGTTGGAGAGAACACTATAAAAATAATATTGCCAAAAGGCAAAATATCACACAACATATTAAATTTATGTAAGTGTATAATGTAAAATTTGATTTCAACCAGCTTAATAGTAAAATTTCTCCAAATGTAGAGACAATACATGAGAGAACTCTACATGAAGTATTTTTAATTACACTTTCATGCGACTTGTTTTGAAACTTTATATATACTCAATAATAATTATAGACTGGTAAAACTTACAGCGCTTTAATCTTCGTGTTGTTGTCCAAAAGATCTTCTGGAATTACGGATATGCTATTGTTGCTTAAAATCCTAATTTATGGACATAAAATGCGAATTAATAATTTATATAAGTTCATGTTGTCTATAAATGATGGTAAAATAAAAATAATTAAAACACAATGGGTGTAACGGATGCAATCAACAGAGCAGTGAAATACAGCTATATTGGATATATATTACTGTGATCAGTCTTAAAATCTCAAAGGTGACAAACTCACAGAACTTCAATGTTTGGAATTTCGCTAAAAAATTTCTCGGGAATGTCTTTAATCTGATTTCCATCCAAATCACTGAAATGAGAATCGAAGAAATTGTGATTTGACCACAAATAAAAATTCCGTAAGTATATGTATGTTCTTAGAATATACATTAATAAATTTAAACAAGTTACAGTATAGCGACTTTATGATGGTGAAAATACTCGGGAAAATATTAATGTCGTAATCTTCAACAATAGCATGTCACAGTTATAACATACAGCTATTTCAATTAAGGTTGTCCACGAGCTCTGTGCCACGAGCAAAGCGGAAAAGTCGAATACGAGCGCGAAATTAAATTAGGCTGCTGGGAATCGCTATATGAAAATTCATTAATTTTTTAGCGATTCCAATGCAGCAACCTTTCGCGTTCGTATTCGACTTTTCAGCTTTGCTCGTGGACAACCTTAATTGAAATAGCTGTATACATATAGTAGCTATATAGACTTACAGTTCTTCCAGCTTGTCGTGTTTAATCTTATTAAGATCAGATCCAATATTATTTTTGCGCAGATCTCTGTTAAAATTATGGGAACGTCATTTGTACTCATGAGACAAAATACATGCAGTTATATACCTGTATATTGAAATTCCTTGTTACGAAACCGTCTCCTAAAACTGCGAAAACGTCATTTTGCAAAGGCGGGGTAAATAAGGTATATGCACAAACAGAGTCGAGGCATGCAAGCTTATATATAGAGCCTTATTGCATGCAGCCGCGTATATAGCGTATTTAGGAATTAACTGCTCATTATTTATTGTACAGGAAGGGACTGAGGAGAAACTCTACTCAGTTGCCCCACTCTCTTAAACAAGTAGAATTCCCAAAGCCCCCTCCAACAGACAAAACAAGAACATAAATTTTGGAGCCCCCCCCCCCGACGCTAGCTCTTTATTTAGAGAAACAAAAATAGATAATGGGGACCAATCTACATGAACATGAGAGACTATTTATTTGGCTTCCATTTATGAATATTAATATTAAAGGTCTATAAGCATTGTTATTTGTTGTTGAGTTGTTTTGTGATACATTTTTAAAACTATACTGGTTTTTTTTCAAACAAACTAGTAAATCTTTTCAAAGCCCCCCTTCTTTCGTTTCTCTGTATTTTTTCAAAGCCTCCCTTTCAGGTTTTAAAAAGAATTAGAGGTCCCCCAGTTTCTTTTCAATCCCCACTGTACAATAAACGATCCCTTAAAGCGACAAATTTACGATGTGCTTCATCACCGACACGCTATAGTATGTTATTATAGAAAGATAAATGAATGATGTATATATAGTCACGATCAGGTGCATTTCCACAGCAAAATAAAAAGCCACATATTTCCTCGGCATTTCTTGATCACGATTACAGCAATAGTTATTTCGATAGGCCCTACTTTATTTATATATATTTCTAAAGCATTGGAAATTTTAAAATGTTTATAAAAACTTGCATGGCAGCTTTATATACAATATACAACATTACCGTACACTCTAGTTAAAATTTTCCTGGTTAACCTAGAAATAACCATTTTTGTGTTAACTTGATATACGTGGTTAATTTAAAGATGATGTCCACTCCGTTCTGCGCATCAGTTCTGCTCATAACAAAGGGGGACCCCCAGATATAAAATTGCCCAAATTTTGCATCTTTCGAACTTTTTTGAATTGAAACGTAGAGTTAATATTCATTTACAAGCATGGCAAACCAGAAAAGTGTTGTTATAGATATTCAGTATATCATATTTTACAAATATACGTAAACAAAACGTAAACAAAGTTCGCACATGCGCACACGAGTGGAGATCATCTTTAAGTCTCCTTGTTATTTTAGCCTATACTATACGGTCTGGTTAATTTGACGATGCAGGATTTCCTGAGCGGTCAATGTAACCCCACACTAATATATGCTAGGCATGGATAAATAACCAGAGCTCTGGTCCGGTTACTGACCTAAAATATAGTGTTTATTAAATTATATCAAGTATAGGTCGACCTGGTCAGATATATTACAAGAAATAAGTGCATGCATGGTTACATTAACCAGATTATGCGGTAGAAGACTAGAAGTGCTGAAGTGAGATAAAATACGCAGGCTGAAAATTAACCAGGAATATTAAGTTAACCCGCCAAGAGAATGATTTCTAGGTTAACACTGCAAGGAAAAGTTTAACAAGGGTTTTTCTAATTAATTAAAAGTGTATTTGCATGAAACGACCTTCGTTTATTAGCCTGAGGCCTGTTTTATACGTCGAATTTCGGCCGCGTCGAATGCAATTTAAAAAATATATAGATAATGAAATTTAATGAGGTTTATCATCTCATTATTTATAATTGCATTCGACACAAACCAAAACTCGACGTATGAAACAGACCTAAAACAAGGTTAAAGGTGAATACTTACAAGAATCGCAAGGAGGTTGTCTGGTTGAGTATTTCAGTATCATTTTTCGAGAGCGTTATTTGATTTTCATCTGCAACCAGTCTGTGTTTCATGTGAAAAAAATTGACATTTCTTTAATTTAAGAATAATATACCGTATGATCATTTAGGTATAGTCCGGAAATTCTATTTTCGTGGTGATGGAATAATTAATCTGCCCGGCTTTTGTGATTGGCCGTACGTGATGGAATACTGATCTATAAATTGATTGCAGTATATAAAACATATCATGCAGTTTTGCAGATACATATGCAATTATGGTCAATATAGAGGCCCGTGTCAATTTTCATGAGGCATTTTTAGCTTTGGCGAGGCATTCATTCTTCAGTATTTCCTTTCATGCAATAACACTGAGATTGCATATTTTTGGACTTTGTATAAAAATATCTTCAGTCCCTATTATTTTTCCAATCAAAATTATTTTTACCCGAAACTATGCCACTGTAATACAGTGGATGGAGTATTGTGAAACAGTATATAACTGCATATACCGGCCAAAATATACCCGTATAAGAAACTAACCGCTCAACAGATGATACATTTTCTGTTCGGATAGATTCCAAGGAAACCATTTGTTTATTTCGACAAAATAGAGTCTTCGCTTCCTTGCACATAAGGCAGGAATCTAAATTAAATATTAAAAAAGGAACGACAAAGGTCAAAATACGCGTGTACATGCAGGGTGTATAAAAAAAACCTGAACGCATTTGAAATTGCTCTCAATTTCGCAAACCAGCTCGTGGTATCACGTTTTTGTGATATATATATATATTTATTCCTTGAGTACCCATAATGTAGAGTAATAAAAAAACTCGAACTCAAATTTTGTAAACCAGGGGGATGTTTCTTTTCCAACAAACTAAAAATGGCTTGCGTCCGAAATTTAAAAGCTTTAATCGCATTTTGAGTTTTTTCGTACATATTTTGGGTTTTTAATTACTGTACAAAATTTCAGACAACTTGCTTTAGTTTAAGCTCTTTAACTATTCATTTTTTCCTAAAACTGAATCAGCCCATGCATGCTAAATTAATTTGCTGCAATATGCAAATTAGGCGAATATATATAACTGGATACTAATAGCTGTTTTGCGAAATTGAAACGGCAATAAATTTCAAATCTGTCCAGTTTGTTTATACACCCTGTATAATGATACATTATCGCCCGTATTCTAAAAGCTCACTCACACTCAATGAGTGGAGGAAACATGGACTGGACTCATTAGTAAAACATGGACTGGACCCGATTAGTAAAACATGGACTCGATTAGTAAAACATGGACCCGACTAGTAAAACATGGACTCGATTAGTAAAACATGGACTCAATTAGTAAAACATGGACTCGATTAGTAAAACATGGACTCGATTAGTAAAACATGGACTCGATTAGTAAAACATGGACTCGATTAGTAAAACATGGACTCGATTAGTAAAACATGGACTCTATTAGTAAAACATGGACTCGATTAGTAAAACATGAACTCGATTAGTAAAACATGGACTCGATTAGTAAAACATGGACTCGATTAGTAAAACATGGACTCGATTAGTAAAACATGGACTCGATTAGTAAAACATGGACTCGATTAGTAAAACATGGACTCGA